CAGGGGTGAATGAAGGAAAAGAGCCACCGACTCAGAGTGGAGACCTGAGCAAGAAAGCACAGACTGATTCGGAAGATTCTGATTCTCATCAGGTTGCACGACCCATTTGCTGTGTGACTGTGAACAAGTTACCTACCCTCTCTGAACCATCCCTTCAACAGGAACATGGGGCTGACAACACAGATTCTGCCCACTTCTCGAGGCTATTAACCAAGCAAGATCTGTCCATTCACGTGATTCACTCGCTGCATATCTGCTGGGGCCCTGAGCTGTGCCAGGCTCTGGGCTGGGTGGTAGGGGACCCATCATGAAAGATTCTAAGGTGGGAGCTTCCCAGGCATCTGCAAAGCTCCAGTGCCTTTGGGAGAAAGGAGGTTGATGCCCTTGGATTGGAGAGGAGCATGTATGTGGCATGTATGTGGGTGGGTTCGAGGGTGTGTGGGACTCAGAAGCCATGATCAAGACATCTGAGGGACACGGAGACCCACTGGAGGGTCTAAGCAGAGGGGTCTCATTACATCTGTCTTTGTCATGAGCAGGGCCCATGATGCTCTTATTGACTCTGTATCCTGATGCCAAGGGCAGAGACAAGTTCACTGAAATAGATGATTACTGAACCATGCCGATCGAATAAAATTCTGAATGAGAGGTTAGGTTCCCTACAACGTCCGAGCTCCACGAGAGATATTAATGTTCTACACTGGCGCTGGCGGAGGCCGGGGGAAGGTGTGGTGAGAGTTGGGACAGAGGGCAAGGCTGAGCTGCCGAGGTACAGATTGCGACATCCTCCTCCCATCCAGCTGGGACGTCTTGGTAGCTACATCTCTGAGGCCAGGGTGCTTATTCTGAACCCACCTACCAGCAGACACTTCCAGGCTGGTATCAATTAGCACTTTTGAAAGCCCTGGAAAAAAACTGCAGTGGAAAAGCAAGAACAGCCCTCCACCTTCCCCTTCCCCCCAGCCCCAGGGAAGAAAGGAGGAATGCGTGACTTTCTGCACTCTGTGATGTGAGGCAGCCTGCTACACACGGGGAGCGCCAGCCCTGGCACCCGGAGATGGAACCGAGGCCAATACACCATGGGCCACAGATCTCCACATGCCAAGAGTGCGGCCAGGGACGGAGGCTGGCCAAGCCTCCCAAAACAAAGAGGACGAGGAGAGGGAAGGGGGAGGAGGACACACTCCCTGTCCTGTCTGCAAAGAGACAGTCACCTCACGGCCACACACGGGAGTTCTGGGAGAGGCACAGCGGACGTGCATGTGACGGGCTAACGGGGTCACTGCAAAAAGCTGACGCAAGTTGGTGCCCTTTCAAGAACTCAGAAAGTAAGGATTCCCCGAAGGAGGGTCCCTAATGAAGATATACCGCCCCCCCCACCCCGTCAACAAGGAGAGGGCAGCAATTACCAGCCACTGAGAGAAGAGTTGTTTCCAATACTTGGAAAACCAAATGAACGGACAGTATGGGTTTGTGAATGTTTATTTAATGCCTGCTGAACTGCACAGTAGTTCTCACAAGGCTGGGATGCCCTCCTAGCTCTCTGCATAGCCTCCTGCCCTATGACTGTTGGTGAAATGACCGAGTGAGCACTTCTAATAAAGAGCTGCCATGACCGTCCTCCACAGGGTCCTCACATATCTGGGTGAAGTGAGCCATCATGCTTATTTCCCTGAGAGGAGAAACTGAGGTTCAGAGAAGGCAAGAGACTTGTCCAAGGTCACACAGCGAGAT